CACTCCATAACTAATCTCTTATTATACATGAAAAATGTATCCGCCGCATAAGTGGCCATTATTATTATTATTGTAACGACAACAAATATTATATATTATAACTGTAAGAACCTGAAGACCAGAAATTATTTAAAAGAATATTCTACCTCGTTCAGAGTGACTTTTGATTCATGAACGGAGAATAAATCAATACAAAGAAGAAAGTTTCGTGACAAATCCTAATCTATGCTGATCAAGCATATACTTTAGGCTCACTAATTTCTTTTTATCGTTTTCGTGACTTTCACATCAAAAGATTTATTGAAAGTGAATTAATCTTATCAACGATGTTGAATTCGACTTTAAAGTTCATCTTATTTGCGATGTAGTACTTACTGTCTAATCCGATCACTTATGATGCATAAATCTTTCTCTTCACTAGTTCCATCTGGGCGTCAGTGTTGCAGAAGTAAAATGGTACCCAGCCAGGTCCGGGTTCGGTTGCTGAGCGATGCACTTCTGAACCTCTCCTAGTTTATTATATTATATAATAATTCTCCTAGGTTCCGACTGGAACGCATCATCATTTCATCTTGTTATCTGTAGTCAGTCCTCTTTACCTGACTCTGTGATTGCCTGTAAGCTCTCATTTCCTCCTCCTGGAGCGATCTCTTTCATTTCACCCTTAAAATGACGCCCAGCTCGTCGTTTCCCAATCGAGTTATTCAACTGTCTTCTCAGCGTGTATCTCACCCACTTCCATTTCTTCCTGCATATTGGTTGGAAAATAGGTCCTTAATTGAATCGTTTCCAGAATTCCCTGCTGCTCATCCTTTATGGCTACCTGTAGTTCATTATGTAGCCAGAAAAGACAGCCGTTGATGAAGGTCTGCAACAGCCTGTTGGAAACACCTTCGTTGATAAATGAGTCAAGTCTCTAAACCATTTTGAAGCACTCTCAAACTTGACATGAGTGTTGAAAATCCGAATCCTGTTCCCTGTGCTGAGTGCATTAGATTTCCAGACAAGTTTGAGATTAATGAAGGTCTCCATTGGCTTTCTGATCCTGCCTCATAAATCCTCATCCGTGACACCTGTAGTCGAGACGATTCTGCCAAGATAAGTAAAGTAAGTGACCTCCCTTCATTCTCAACCTCTGACGGTTATCGACATATATTGTTGGTTATTTAGTAATCTTCATCACCTCTGTCTTCTTTATACTCACTTGAAATCCATTTTGTAATGGGAGAAAACAAGAAACTTGGTAACGGAGTGTTTGTTCGCAGTCTGTTATATACTTATATGGAAATTATATATGTACCTTTAGATATGACGGAGAAGGTTTGTAGCTCAGGTGGATGATTTTGATGAGGTTGTGTTCTTTGAGCTGTACAGTTAATTGACGAAGATTTCATCTTCAGTGCATACTTCAATTTGAAGTGAAGTGAGCTTTTAGATTCCTCCAAGAGTTTATCACTCATCTCTCCTGGTGGTTGATCTTGAACGTGATTGGTTGTTTTCGTATGTTTTCATACCCTCTAGGCTACTTGTATTGGGAGTGATTGCTTCGTTGACCTGAGGTTTGACCCTTTGTGTGTGAGATTTCCTTCTTATCGGTTGATAAATTTTGCCTATTTTGATGTGTCTATTAATTGACGATTCACTGGAATACCAGGCTTCTAAAAATTCTCTAGCATTCTTGGTGTTTCCCCTGTCTAATATTTGAACGTTGTCCCAGTCAAATTGATGTCCATGGTTGTCTGTATGCAGTGAGGCGATATGAGCGAGGGAGTGGATGTCATATCTTTTGATGGCTAGCTTATTTTCATGGATACGAAGACGAAGGGGACGTTGTCCACTTTGGCCAATGTAGTATTTTTCGAAGTTGTTACAATTTATTTTGTAGATGATGTTGGTTTTATCTTCTTTAGTTGTTGAGTTTCGTGATTGACACAGGGCTGGCTAAGTGAAGCGATTTTGATGGTTTGTGTGCGGCGTGAATTCCTTAAGGTTTAAAGACTTTGAAAAGGCCTTCGACAGAGTCGATAGAAAGGTGGTTTGGCAACTACTTCGCTACTACGGGGTGCCACCAACAATTATACACCTCATCCAACAGTTGTACTATAATACTACTAATACCAGGCTTCTAAAAATTCTCTAGCATTCTTGGTGTTTCCTCTGTCTAATATTTGATATATATATGGACATCTCAGAAATCACCGCAAGACTCTTAAAACCTTTAGGAATTAACGCCGAACACAAAACAACAAAATCATTTCACTTAGCCAGCCCTGTGTCAACCAAAAGACTCAACAACGAAAGAAGATAAAACCAGCATCACCTACAAAATTAATTGTAACAACTGCGAAAAACACTACATTGGCCAAAGTGGACAACGACCTCCTCGCCTTCGTATCCATGATCATGAGCTAGCGGTGTGTGTGTGAAAACGTACAAAAAAACCAATCACGTTCAAGGTCACCCACCAGCAGAGATGACTAATAGAGAACTCATGGAGAAATCTAGAAGCTCACTGCAACGAATTGAAGTATGCGCTGAAGATGTCGCCTGGTAAGTAGGATGATGAAAGCTTCGCAAACTAACTCTTCAGCTCAGAAAATACAACCACATCAGAAATTATATTTACCTTATGTTAAGACCGTCATTTGCACAGATCCTCTGTGTTGTGCTTGTCACTTCTTCCCTTCGTGTTGTGTGTTTCTTTGTTTTCTTTCCGTGAATCTCTTATTTCGCCGAAACATGCTCTCATTGAAGTCGAATCTATCCCTCTGCTATTTGATATTTCTGTGGCAATGAACGTCGCTTTACATACTACTGATAAATCTTGTCAGTAGCCTATGCCACACTATCTTTGCTGCCTGCCTCATCTATTAACTTGTCGGTTTTCACCTGTACATCTTCGCCTTATTTATTAATCGGTACTAAGGCCTGAAAATAAGTGACAGTTAGGTGTGAAACTACCTACCACGCACTATGAGAAGCAACATCACCGCCGTTACTGAAAATTTTAAAGCTTGAAGCTCAGTGCTCCTTTCGGAATGCGAAAAAGAAAATAGAAATAATGGTTCCTGAAATTACTGCATCTTTTTCTGTGATTAGAAGCTTTTGTAGGAACAGCTGCCTTCACTTCAAGGAACTCTGACAGGCAACAAACCAGCTAAGAACCCACCGCCCAACAAATATGCTGAAGGAAACGGAGATGGATCGGATATACGTTGAGGAGACCAATGGCTGACACAGCGCGCCTGGTAGGCCTTATTGTGGAACCCAAATAGGAAATGCCAAGTTGTTCGTGTGTGTGTGAGGGTAACAGGATGAAGGAGATCGTGTCAAGACGAGATGAAAACTTATTGGTGATCGTGGAGGCGGCGTGTGTGAAGTGGTATTAAAAGATGAGTAATAATGAGGTTAGGAGTCGAGTGCTAGGTAAGTAGGAGGGGAAATCAATCGACGAGGCTGTGAAATTATATCGACTGAGATGGTTAGGACATGTATTACGCATGCATTCCTAGCCATCGCCTTCCTGGAAATGTTAGCTGACATAGGGTCAGGCTGGAAAAGAGCTAACTAGTGGCGGTCAAACGAAAACATGGCACCAGTCAATGAAATCCACAACAGTTAGTTTAAGCTAACCACGTAGGAAGGTGTAGGCTTCCTGGTTGGAGTACTTGGGACGGTAAAACCAATGGTTGGAAACAATTGGTGACATGGCTCAAAGTTGTTCTCAGTGGCGCAGATGCATCCACTCCTTGTGACTCATGATTTCCAATTAAACTGTTTTGTTCTTCGTTATTACTATCCATTTGTCTAACACCTCTGTTTACTGTCTCTAATATGCATTTCTTCTACTTTCTTCTCTTGCTTTGTGTGGTACATGGAGTGGAGTGTGGCGACTTGAACTGCCGCACATATATGCAAAGTTCTATATCGAAAATAGACAGACAGACAAACTGACCTTAAAGTACAGGGTGAAATGGAGAGGGGATGTTGAAGTCCTATATAATCAGACGGAATCCAATCACCTCTTTACAATATCTGCCACTAACTCTCCCCAGAAGTCCAGGTTCATGTACAGTATTTTTGTTTGGCATTGAATTGCATCCTTCCCCTTTTTTGGCTTTAGTTCCATTTCTTGACAAGATCCTTTCCGGAAAGAAAGACATCTACTTCTAAGCAGTCAGTGCTGCATTTTCGTTTGATACGATGAACAGATGGAATGATGACAGCTCTGTTTTTTCGACTTACAGGTATCCAACTATAAACATTGGGTCAGTTAATCATTCCATAATAAAAAAACAATTGCAGCGAAGAAAATTTTCTTTTCGACGAAGTCATCATCTAGGCTGTACATTCGTGTATTTATATCAAATGGATGGGAAAGTTCCAGAATAATTTCTGGTTAAGGGTTTTTTTTTAATAATGACCATCCCATCGCCTTTCTTATCTAAACTTCCTGTTTATTCATGTTATTTTACTATTTCTACATATTTAATCCCTGATTGCATAAACAATTATTCATCACACTAGTTTCTTATCCAAACATCCTGTATATTTTGTTACTTTTACATTTCTAACCCCCAATTGCACAATTTGTCAATTTTCTTAGTTATTATGCTACTTTGTTTGAGTTTTACCCATCCCCCTGTTTATTATGGCGCTCTAATTCCTAATTGTAATTTCTATTAATTTAACCCTTAACCAGAAATTGTTCTGGAACTTTCCCATCCATTTGATATAAATACACGAATGTACAGCCTAGATGATGACTTCGTCGAAAAGAAAATTTTCTTCGCTGCAACTGTCTTTTTATTCCCTATGATCAAATGTGTATATTCCATAATAAGTTTTCTAGTTCAATTGATAACTAATTAAAATGTATATATCTTAATTTTGTTCCTTAAAGTTCATCTAATTTTGTTGTTGTTGGTGTTTATTCCATGTTCAATCCATAAATAATTTAATTTCCCTTGGTTGTTTTCTCCATCTTTTCTCCTTTACAGGGGGTTATGATGCCTAATATAGCTTGCTTAATTGCAATATGGTCACCACCAACTGAAAAAAGTCGATTTACGGCATTCGTCTTCTCAGGTGGGTCTGATTTACTCATCTCTGTTTCCTCACTTTTCTATACGAAGTCCGTTATATTTACTAAGGACAACACATCTAAGCGAACAATATTGTGGTTTCAATTAGATCTCATCAGGCCTAACTCTAATATATATATAAGTTTACGAATAAAAATTCAAATATAAACCAATCATGGTGTTTTGTCTATAGGATAATACGATGATGAATATAAATTGTGCAATTAGTCATAATAGTAGTAATGACAATAATAATAATGGTTCTATCAATAATAAGGATGAAAAAGTGAGGCAATCTGTGATAACACGAATAATGAAAAAGCAGCATGATTAAACAAACAACTGTTCAAGTGGAAGTAGTCGATAAAGGCTAGTAAAAACAAATGAACCGATTAAGTAGTGTTAGATTGTAAGGGAAGGAAATGAAACACGTTTATAATGAAGATAAGATTAAGGGATGATACGAAAGGGATTGAAAGTATAAACAAAGTGTGGTGTAGAAGTCATTAGTTGGTTATGTCTTAATAGGCCAAGGGAGGGATAATGGCTGTACGAACTTCTTTTGAATGCATAGTTTAGGTTTAATAGTTCGAATGCATATCGCCTCAGCTGTGTGCAGTAGACGAATACAAAGTCTATTGAAAAGATTCGGTGGGATACGATGAATTACCTTGAAAGCTTTCGTTTTCTCCACTACATGACCACTATCAATTAAGTGTGACAAAATTGAGCTATGGATTGTTTTTGTCTGTCCTTTGCCAAACCACGATGGAAGATGTTCACTAACACGTTGGCTAAACTGTCTGGTAGTACGCCCAGTATAACTGTCACCGCAGGTGCAGTTGAACTGATAAATGCACATAGATGTGGCAAAACTATCAAGCTTATCCTTCGTTTACGTCTCAATCATCAATCGGCTAGAGAATGACAAACATAGGTGTGCTGCATAAAATGTTCTTCGTATGCTCCTTGAAAGTCTTTGGAATAGAATCTCATCCTTATTATTGATAAAACCATTATTACTACTATTATTATTACTGTCATTACTACTATTATGACTAATTCCAAAATTTATATTCACCATCGTATTATCCTATAGACAAAACACCATGATTGGTTTATATTTGAATTTTTATTTGTAAACTTATATATATTAGAGTTAAGCATGATGAGATCTAATTGAAAGTACAATATTGTTCGCTTAAATGTGTTGCTCTAAATTTTACTATTGGAATATTTAATATATTCACTAAGACACAAACTTAGTGCATTAACAGCACTATGAGTTGTGGGCCGGTGGCTGGGCAGTAGAATGCTGGCCAACCACACACAAGTGGTCCGGAGTTCAATTCCAAGCCGACATACTGTTGAATCTCTCTAAGCCAGTAGTAAAACAGATAAAGAGGGAAGTTTAGGAGTGAGGCTAGCAACCACACTGCATAAAAGACCAAATCACCACTAGTAAAATTTGAAAAACTCAAGCTTGAAGCTCTATGTTCCACTAGGAACGCAACGGAATCGAACAGTAATAATAACAGGCACGACACAAAATATCATGTTTTGTGCGAGGGTCATAACACGGCTTGGACTCCCAGACCGAAATATGTGATTATCTTAAAGGACCACTTCCCGAGTCCTTAACTCAAAGTCAGATCCACAAGGTGGTTGACTAGTGGCAGGATCTACGCTACCATATTTACTGATGACCAAAAACAGGTTCATATTTCATTCGATTCCATTATGGGTAAAATTTGTTTTAATAAAGACTCACAGTGTTGTTATGCAGTAATGTTTACTGATGACCACGTTTCGAGCACAATGTATTACTGCTAATAATCATATCAAGGTACTCACACACACAACTTTCTAACTTCGTTTATATAATTCCATTATGTTTTTCATAGTTAGATTTGATTGGTAGTACTATTCTCCATTTTACCTGTATGAGTAACGAGTCATTCCTATTGCATGTGTTGGGTGCAGACTCTATGAACAAGGATTCAGTTATCAACCTCTCTCTCCATCCACCTATCTAGATTACGTTTGAGAATTTTAACCCTCTCCCAACTTATTGTGTGGTCGTGTGTTAATGCATGCATGCAGTGCAGTTGCTGAGCTTTTTCCTAAATTACTTAGCTTTTCGGGGTCAATCGTTCTTACCTTAGCTCAATTCTTATGTTCCGACAATCTGAATACCCCTGAGCTACTAGTTTGACCTATGTAGTTGACCTCAGTCACAGTCATTGCAGGGTATTTTGTAAATTATATTATTCTGTTTGATATTAAGCGTTCTTTGTGATTTCTGAAATCTGTTCGACCACCGAAAAACCCGGTTGAACTAGAAAAGCTTGAAAAATCATCATCCATAGGTCGTCTACACGCTATGAAATCAGGTCACAAAATTGATTTTGACAATGTTGAAATAATCCAGAAAAACTTCAGATATCATGAAGAACGTCATCTAATATCAGAATCACTTCATATCATCAAATGGAAACTAAATTGTATTCATAGGAATGATGGACTAAAACGGAATTTGACTAGGTTACAGCACACACCCTCATGAAGCGACAAAATCAACACGAATGTGATAAGCGATTTCATTATGTAAACGCACGCTGCTTTTGTAATTTTATACACTTGTCATATCCAACAATCTACACCTGGTTTTGTTATCTTTACCAACTGGCCAATTTGACAACGCAAAGATGACCCTATGCTGAGGAATGACGATTAAGTTGTTATATATAAGCTGAGTGGATTTTGTAAATTCTGGTTTAACAATACCATTTTGATAAAGCTATTAGCAGCAGCATTCAATAGCGAAACGTCAGTGAACACACAACAATATCGTTTTATTTTTCATTCATTCATTGAGAAATACAAAAAGGAACCTTTATTATAATGAATATCATATACGAAATTCCCAAATTTTCTCAAACTGTTAAAAGTGAACTTGGATTGGACATATATAGTGAATTTAAATTACTGAAGTGTCTCAAAATAATGCGAAACAGCTGAATAGTGCTATACATTATTTCTTTTTTAACCGAATAAAATTCCAGAAAAGATTTACCTCGAAATCAGGCGATTCTTCACAAATCCAGCTTTAAAGTTTCCAGAAAATACATATTCACTTCTTTAATATGATTTTAGGCGCATAAAGATACCTTATGACCAACAGCAAAAAGCACCACTCACTAGCAAAGGGGAAATTCGAAGGTCATGCATTTCACTTAGCTACTCAGGTGACATGGATGATGAATTCAGAGCTGGAGTCACGAGGGCAAGACATACCTTTATTAATATATGTGTTAAACTTGGGCACTGGGGTTCTAAGTAATTCCATATTAGTTTGTTTATTGGACTTATCACACAGTGAGTAAAACAGTATTATTAACAGCATGATAAAGTTTCCAACACAATCTATTATTATTCATAATCATATCAATTATAATCACGCGACCTCGAAACTTGAGTTTCATAGTCTTCTTTAATTCTTCCTATTCATCGCAGGGGTAGTAGAATTTTCACGATGTCCGAGTTAACAGGTGATGAATCATTCCTATTACACGTGTTGATTCCCAGTTGATTCGATAAATAAAGCTTCCGTTATCAATCTCTCCCTCCACCCTCTGTCATTAGATTTTAAAACTGTCATCTCATGCCATTCTGTTGTATGTTTGTGTGTAATTGCAAGTAGTGTATTGGTATAACTGGACTATTCTCTAGATTTCTTATCTTATTCGGGTCAACTAATCTAGATTTTGCTGCTAGGTTTTGTGCTTCACTAGTCTGAATGACTGACCCCGTCTTACCACTAGTTTGCCTTATGTAGCTGACTTAAATTTTTTTTTTGAATTGGCTCCACAGGATTGATCCTTTAACCGACAAAGCTTGTTTCAAATTGAGTTTGTAGGTTTGAATGCCAGCCACTTTTATTCCTCCCTGCATTGTTAAGAATTCCGCGTAACGTTTCCGAGGTTCCTTCTTTGTATGGAAGTACTACTGATGATTTAGACTTCCTATTGCTGGTGTTGTCATCATCAGGCGTATGTTTCACATGCATATCGTCATTAATATTACTATTATTATTATTATCATCACTATCACTACTATCATTATTTATTTTTACGCTTCCCTACATACTTTCTGATTAACTTATCATTCCATCCTATGTCAGCAAAAATAGCATTCCTGAAGTGTTTAGATAATAGAGCCCAAAAACTGAGTAGTACCGGGGAAAATGTAAGACAGCAAGTGAGGTATATAAGAGAATCTGTGGAACTTAATAATTACCCTGATAAATCAGTGAGAAAGTATGTAGGCAAATGTAAAAGTAAAAAAAATAATGATAGTAGTGATAAGATGGGATAAGATGATAGTTTTAAAATCTAATTCAAAAGTAGGGTTGAGGGAGAGATTGATAAAGGAAGTTTTATTTATCGAATCAACTTCAAATCAACACCGGTAATAGGAATGATTCCACACCTCTCCAGCCAGACATCTGGAAAATTCTACTACCCCAACGACGACAAATAGGAGAGAACATAGAAAACTATAAAACTCAAGTTTCGAAGTCGTGTGATTATAATTGATTAAATGATTATGAACAGTAATAAATTGTGTTCGAAACTTTGTCAACCAGTAAATAATGTGGTTAACACTTATATTGGTTACAACAATAGGCTAGCGAATTGACTAGGTAGGGAATTCGTCAGCGCAACTAGCAAGTCTACTAACGGTCCTATCAAAACTGGCGACTGGTACATATCAGATGGTATATAGATTATTTTCCTCTAATTGTGAATAACATTCGTGATGAAAATTTGCCTAGAAATCAGGCGATTCTTTATACACTCAATTTTTTTGAGTTTATATATGTATGTATATGTGAAATCGTTTAATATGCCGCTAGGCATTAACATAATAGCGGTATAATCGTATTGTCACATATGTAAAAAGTGCAAGAACAAATATTTATTTTTAGGCTGTTTGGTTTCTGACCGAAGTTTTTATAACACAAATTTATCATTACAGTTAACGTACGATATGAGTGTACAAACTTATATATATATATATACATATATATTTACGAGTTGATCATGGATTGATATCAGTTGGAGAACTATTGGAAACCAGCTTGGAGTACTGGACAGCTGTTTCATCCCAGTTTGGGAATCATCGGCAGCACGCACCCACTGGGATTCGAACCCAGGACCTTCCGGTTACAAGGCAAGCTCATATACCATTCAGCCACTCGGACCCGATTTATTTGCCAGTCCATGAATTCTAACTTCTACCAAGTCGTGATTTAGCGCGACCCCAACCAATGTCGTCGGTGGGACATCCATCCTCACACGTAACATCTGGATGGACCTCACTGGTCATGACTTCTCCCTCGAACTCCAGGAAACTCCATCCTGTAGCAAGTCACAGCAAGCATCAGATTAATTTTCCATAGTTTGGTCTGTAAGGGTTAGTTTTGTTGTCGTCGCCCTAAATCAAGAATTGATTGAAGTCAGAACTCATGAGCCATTGAACTGGGTCCGAGTGGCTGAATGGTATACGAGCTTGCCTTGTAACCGGAAAGTCATGGGTTTGGACCATATAGTGTGGGTGCGTACTGACGATGATTCCAAAACTAGGATGAAACAGCTGTCCAGTACTCCAGTGCTATATATATATATATATATATATATAGCCAAAATATTCATTCAGACATCTAGAAGAAAACAAAAGAATTGAGTAAAGAATATCCTTTTCGATAATTTCCTCTTCTGGCTCTACAATTATTTACGTATATGTTTATATACATAGAACATTCTAGAACAGTAGTCAATAACAGTATTAGTGTTTCTTAAATAATATCGATTTGTTAAGTAAGATCACAATGGAATTACAGTTCATTAAAGATGCTTAAATAATAATAATAAAAATATAATAGCAAATAGAATATCAAGTGAAATTTCTTCAAAACATTGAGGATCATTAGAACCTAGATGGCCAGGGTAAGGACAATGTCTGAACTAGCTTCTTTCAGACACATAAATTAGGCTTCTTAATGTGGATCCCAACGGCCTCAGCAACATTTAGTAATCTAAATCTTAAGGAGAAGTTAAGATTAGTTGATATGCGGTAAATGACTTTGAAAGCCGCCTCGTTAACATCAATCTTGTGTTCTGTATCCATAAGATGAGATAAAATAGCGCTACGACTAGATTTTGTTTGTCTTTTACTTAAGCAAACAGGGTGATGTTCAGAAATTTGACGAGAAACACGCCTAATTGTACGGTCTATGTAACTGGCTCCACAGGAGCTGTTAAATTGGTAAATACACATGGAAGAGGTGAAATTAGGCAGTTTATCTTTTACTCCCGAACGCGAAAGAGGAGTAGTCTTGAAGACATAGAGTTTGCATATATATATATGACTAAATTGTTTCAACATAGAACTTTGCACTGATGTGCAGCAGTTCAAGTCACCACACTTCACTCAGCACACAAAGCCAGAGAAGAAATTAAAAAGAAATGCAAAATAGAGACAGTAAACGGAGATATGAAGCAAACAAAAAAAATAGTAATGTCGAAGAATCATATAGTTTTATTGGATATTATAAGTCACAAGGAGTGGATGCATCTGAGAAAGATTTTAAGCTACATCACCAAGTGTCTCGAGCCATTGCTGCCGAATGGCAGTAAGCCTCTTACTTCGAGATGCTGGAGCTTAGCAATTCTTCGACTGACTCTTGACGACTAAAAGTAAATTATATGTTGTTAAATTATTCAAAGTGCGTTGGTGGCATAGCGGTTAGGATGCTCGCCGACCATGCATATGGTCCTGGGTTCGATCCCCGGCCAACGAACTCCTTTACCTCGCTAAGCCAGAAATAAAACTGGTAAAGAGGAAAGGTTGGGCATGAGGCTAGCAACGTCATCCTGTAAAAATAAACACTGCTAAAGAAACTTCAGGCGCTAGCTTGAAGCCCTATGTTCCACTGGGAACGAGAAGGAATAAAAAAAATTATTCAAAAGACATAGGACTATAAGTGAATTAGTATTTGGATAAATTCACTCAAATGTATTTCAGCAGCTCAGCAACATGTCGTTTACCTTCAGTCCTGGCGACTGGCTCTAATCAGATAGGTAGTTACCTGGGGTTCTAGTTGGAACTCATGGCCAATAGGGTACAGCAGGTCGGGCGTGAGATTAAATACTAGCCGAAGATATTGGCTAGCGGTCGCGCCATATCGTGAATTGGCAGAAGATAGAATTCATGGGCTGGTCATTGGATCGGGTCGCAGTGGTTTAATGGTCTACAAACTAATTTGCCTGGGTTCAAATCTCCTGTGGTGGATGCGTACAGATGAAGAGTCCCAAGCTAGGATGAAACAATTGTTCAGTACTCTCAGTTGGTTTTCCAGTGGTTCTCTAACCAATGCCAGCTGATGTTGAAATCCTCCAACCATTCAAATGAAAATATCCCTACAAACCAATACTTGAATCTTTTTACCTTGTTTGAGACTCTTCTCCACTACCCACCCATGAACCCGCATACCGAGGATCGGACCCAGGGCTTTCAGTTACAAGGCAAGCTCATTCACTATATAGCCTCTTGGACAAAATCAATTGGCTCATCAATTCTAATTTCTATCAGTTCGCGATATTTAGCGCAACTGTCAGTCAATGTTATCGGCGAGTATTTCTCCTCACATAAAACTTGACACACGCCGCGCTGGTAGTTAACTCGTAGAAGTTAGAATCAATGATTCACTGGATTGCGTCTCATTGCGGCTCTGGTTTTGACCCCGTGGTGATTAGGATCATGGTTTCACACCAATGAAGAGTCTCAAACAAGGGCGAAGCAACTACTTAGTGCTCTCTTGTTCCCAGTGATTCTCCAAATGAAATTAATTCGTGACTAATGGTGGCAGTTATGTAATCCGTGCAAATTAACACACATGAAACTCTATTGCTTAGGTCAATGAGATACATCACAGATATAGTCCAGGTGAGGTCAGACTTCATCACAATTGAGGTTTACTCTAATACTTTGGTTGGACACTAGTCAGTAACTAGTGTGATGTGTCTAGCCCTTTGTTTGATGCAGACTGAATTCTATCATATCGTGGAAAACACCCATATAGACATTAGAAAGAAGAGAATACGAAGTTCAGCAAAGATATCTTTTCGGCGATTTCATTTTCAAAAGTTGTACAATCGCATTTAAATACATAATTTTACATGGAGACAATGCTTGTTCGATTCTACATAATTACGACGGCGAATAAAAGGTGATAATTATTTCCAACTAGATATGGTTTTTACGAGAGGCTTAGAAACAAAATTACACAGGATTAGAACGGATATCAAGTGTGTAAAAATGAGCATGGAAACAATATTGAAATAATAATTTTCAACTTGAGATGGGAATCAGGAGGTGCGAATATAGATTACAAGAGCCTTATTTCAATTTTGTTTCCATGCTCATTTTCTATACACCTGTGATTCATTGTAATCCTGTATAATTTCTAAGGCTCTTGTAATCTATATTCGCACCTCCTAATTCCCATCCCAAGTTGAAAATTATTATTTCAATTTTGTTTCCATACTCATTTTTACACACTTGATATCCGTTCTAATCCTGTGTAATTTTGTTTCTAAGCCTCTCGTAAAAACCATATCTAGTTGGAAATAATTATCACCTTTTATTCGCCGTCGTAATTATGTAGAATCAAACAAGAATTGTCTCCATGTAAAATTATGTATTTAAATGCGATTGTACAGCATTTGAAATTTGAATTTTATCAGTCAGGTTTGCAATGTGGCCACCATTCTAGGTAGCTGGACATCACGGTGCACATTGATTTTATGGTTTTAGATGGTTGGAGGCAGTCAGCAGGTGGAAGCCTTGGACCTAGGTTTCGTGCTAGTTGTCACTCACCAGTCAGCAAGGCGTATCTGCAACCTTGAAGGAACTCATGTGCCTTCAGTCTGCACCAAAATGAGGACTAGACACATCACACTAGTTACTAGTGTCCAATCAAAGTATCCACTACCGTGAGCCTGAATAGCTCAGTGGTAACCTCCCTGACTGTAACACTCATTAGGTGACGCCGTGGGTTCGAATCTTAGAAGGAACATGAGTTCCTTCCAGGTTGCACATACGTCTTGCTGACCGGTGAGTGCCAACTTTCACGAAACCTAGGTCGGATTGGCTTCCTCCTGGCGATTGCCTCCAACCATCTAATACCATTACTCTAATACCTCAATATTTCCACTATATTAATTATCTGTTCTGCATTTCAATACTTGAAACCCTTTCTTGTTTCTTTCATATAAAATAGGTATCATATTTGGTACTGTCCTTGGTCAAACATCAGCCGGCATTATCTCACAACCGAGAGCAATTCATTCACATCTACACACTGCACCAATTTACGTCTCTTATTGGTATAATGTACATTATCTCTTTGGTATAATTGCGTTAATATTTTCACTACTTTGGATTATTCTCGTGTACAACAGTCCAGAAAATCATCCATGGATTGGTGAAAATGAAAAACACTTTCTGACTGATCCATCACCTGGAGTTTTTAGTAGAAATAGACTACAGTCCAGTCAATCGGTAAGTTAGTTCAATGGTTTTATTCTTCTGATTCGGTATTAAATGCTCAATTATCGACATGTTGGTTATTTGACTTTAGGCGTCTGGAGGCAGTCGGCTAGGAGTCCTCATCCTTTGTTTCAGGCCTGTTCGGAACCGTCAGCAAGGTATATCTGTAACCCCTCCCACAGTGCTGCTGTTAGAGACGTTACCACTGATCTATTCGAGTTCATGAGTGACCTGCTGTAGGACTTTAATGGACACATTATCTGGTAACTGGAGAGTAATAACTGTTTTATATATTCCTTAGAGCCGTCTGAATTCCATGAGTCAGTCTTCTAGTGGACATCGCTTCCCTTCGTCTTGAAGAAATACCTTCCCCTACGCCTTGTGAGTCCCACTAAGCATGAAACTTAGGTTAAGAGTTTACTGGTGACCGCTTCTAACCATCTGATATCAGTACAAAGTGTACTCATGCTGATGAGTTACCTAGGTTGTTTATGATATTGTAAACGTGACCGAGAATTGATTCAGCAGCTGTGAGTAGACAAGCAACATTTTTTACATCCAAGTGACGACTCATTGTGTGTTTATGTTCTTGATAAGTAACCGTTTGATTACAAACAAACCATGATTTAAGAAGGCAATAATGGCATCTCTTAGAAAGGGAACTATGGTAACCATTAGATATTATCATTATCATTCCTTTTAGGTCCCCAATGAAACAGCTACAATAGCAAATCTCCATTTCACTCTGTCATCTGAAGTCCTTTTTAGCTGGATCCCCACGATTGCCCATAAGGCTGCATTTCCTCAAAGTACAATTTCATCCATGTCATTCTCTCACCCACGCCTAACTAGTCATCCACCATTTGGCTTTCACTTGACGGTTGGCCTGGCGGGTATGGTGTCACTTAACGGTCTTCTCAACGTTTATCCGATCCATCTCCCTTCCTTTGTTGACTGGTCTGTTGTCACAGTCTTCACTATCAAGTGAAGGCAGATGTGTTCATAAAAGTTGTCAGTACCATATTAATATACGTGTAAAACTTCGGCACTGTGGTAGTGTGTGTGTGTAGTTCCATATTAATTTGTTTATTAGATATATCACACAGTAAGTGGAACAGTACTATCCACTGGATGACGTTTGGAACAAAATTTATTGTTCATAGCCATATCAACGATTGTAACTACACTACTTCGAAACCTTCATTTCATAGTCTAGTCTTCTTTATTCCTTCCTATTCATCGCAAGGGTAGTAAAATTTTCCCGACGTTCAGGTGGACAGGTGTTGAATCATTCCAGTTACACGTATTGGTTCGCTGTCGATTCGATAAATAAAGCTTCCGTTGTTGATCTCTCCCTCTACCCTGTTACACAAGATTTTAAAAGTGTCATCTTATCCAATCCCACCTTATGGATGGTTGTGTGTAATTGCATGTAGTGAGTGCTATAGCTGAACTATTCTCTAGATTTCTTATCTTATTAGGGTCAACTAATCTACATTTTGCCAGGGGTTTTATGCTCCGCTAGTTTGACTGACCCCGTTCTACCACTACTTTGACCTATGTAGATTTGACTAGACAGTCATTGCAGCGGGGTATTCGATTAACTGAATTGTTTTGTTTAATTTGCTCCACAGGATTCTTCGACCGATAAAGCTTGTTTCTAATTGAGTGTGTGGGTGGTTTGAATGCCAGCCACTTTTATTCATACCTGCCTTGTTAAGAATTCTGCGCAAGGTGGTTTCCGAGGTTCCTTCTTTGTATGGAATTACCACTGATGATTTAGATTCGTTATTGTGGGTGTTGTCATTATCCTGCGCATGTTTGACATGCATGTAGTCATTAATATTATTATTATTATCACTAACACTACTATCATTATTTATTTTATTTTTACATTTCCTACATACTTTCTGACTAATTTATCTGTGTAATTAATAAGTTTCAAAGCTTCTCTTATGTGCCTTACTTCCTGTGTTACATTTACCTTGGTACTGCTTAGTTTTTGTGCTCTATCACTAAAACATTTCACCAATCCTGTTTTCACTGACATAGTATGGGATGACTGGAAATCCAAATATCTGTTTGAATGTGTCAGTGTGTTTCCTGTAAACACACTAGCGTGTTTAACTTCCCATCTTGTTTCCTTTTTACACTACAATCTAACATTGGAAGCTCTCCCTCCTTCCTGAATTTCCAATTCATATGTGAATTGCATTGCCTCCACCTTTGAGTTGATGTGTTCGAAAAATCTATCTATATTCTGTGTTCTAAGTATAGTGGATGGGTGGGAAAACATAGCGATTGACACATTCAGTCCCACCCCAAAATTATGGTGGACATATGTAGATGATACATTCACTGTTATAATAATAATAACAGCATCTTTATTCTGGACAGTATTTATATTATGTACAGCATTTTCCGAGGAGTCGACTGCATGATATTTTCCCTTCGTACAACATTTTCAAGTAAAATATTAACTGAAATTAGTATATCCTGTGACACAGTACTCTCTGAGGTGAAGCACAAACCATTTCACAGAATATACACATTGTATCATAGGAATTATTAAAAGGATGGTTGCAGCAAAGAAAATTTCCTTTTCGACGAAGTCGTCAACTAGGAGGCTGTACATTCGCGTATTTATGATAAATGGGTGGGAAAGTTCCAGAATAATTTCTGGTCAAGGGTCACATCAATACAATAATAATTAGGAATTAAAATGCCATAATAAACAGCGGGGGACGGATAAAACTTAAACAAAGTAGCATCATAATTATTGGGAAGATTGACACATTTTGCAATTACGGGTTATAAATGTAAAAATAACAAAAATAAACAGGATGTTTCGATAACGAAACCTAGTGGGATCAATAACTAATGTTAAGAATAATTGTTTATGCAATCAGAGATTAAATATGTAGAAATAATAAAATGACAAAACAAACAGGAATTTCAGATATGAAAATATGGTAGTGTATATAGGGGGTTAAGAAAAACTTAAAAATCACATTAATAAACAGGGAGTTTGGATAAGAAAGGCAATGGGATAGTCACTATTTAAAGAATTACCTGTTTATGATGGCCATGGGAGGGATAAGGGTTGTACGTGTTTCCTTTGGATTCAAAGCATGGGTTTCAGCTGGTGCCTCGGCTATGTCCAGATGTCTTAATTTTACTCCCTTTGATAGGTTTGATTGCACCTTGTATATTATTTCGAAGGACTTTTCCAATGGCGCTGAATGTCCTGAATTGACCAGATATTCTGTCACCCAACTATATACACGTTTTCGGTCTCCTTTTACTAGCCAGGTAAGATAGTGTTCACGAGCGCATTTTTCAAGTCAACGCATGGTATGGCCAATGTACGAAGCTCCGCACGAGCCGGTTAACTGGTATATCCACGTTAAAGTGGCCCAGTGCGACAGCTTATCTTTCACGTTCTGGCTGAACAGTTTCTTGCAAGAAAACATCATTAGTAGGCTCGCGGCAAAGTATGTTTTCCTAAGAGATTTGCAGAGGCGTTTACGAAGGATTTCTGCTTCAATGTCACCTTTGAATTCTAGATTAGGCAGAAGCATCTTCTTTGGGACGGATCGGACTTGTTCGGAAGTCTTCTTTGATTTGAGGTTCTTGTCTATGAACCTGGGCGGAAAACCGTTTTCCATCAGGGTTTCTCGGAAATCACACAGTTCTTCGTTAATCACTTCCTCGCTGCATATCTTCCGAATCCTTGAGGAAAGAGCATATATCAGATTCCTCTCTCTGCTTAGGGGCAAGAAGCTTTGAAAGTTGATGAATTGTCTATTCCATGTAGGCATTTTGTATATGGACCTTTTCAGAGAGTTGTTGGCGTTTCTTGTCAGATGGTCGTCAAGGTAGTGGAACATTCCGTCGGATTCAGCTTCAAAAGTAAAGGTGATGTTTTGCTAGGCATTGTTGAGGGTTTGAAGTAAGTTTTCAAGGTCCAGGTTCTCATCACAAATGATGAAAGTATCATCAACGTATCTCTTGTAGAGATGAAAGTCGTCGATAGTTGATGATAAGGAGTTGTTTTCTAGGCTAGCCATAAAGCAATTGGCCAGGAGGGGTCCTAGGAGAGAACCCAATGCTACTCCACCTACTTGCCTGTATATTTCGTTGTTGAAACTAACAAACCATTTCATTATGATATATCTGTTTTGTCTCCTTCAAGAAATCCATCCACAACATCTAGTAGAAAGCCAGCTGTAAGATGTCCAGAAATACGCCTTGAGACCTAAGGACATTACTGAAGAACAGTTATCTCATGTGTTTGATAGAACATGTTACCACCCGTAATCAGGTCTTTCCACAGACTTAGTAGGAACTTACGAATCAGAAGCTTGCAAAAACATTACAAATACACACAAGAATAGATAATAATACTATTAGAGGGATCACATCTTAATCGATTAAAACAAACCGAATGAGAGAAAATATATGCACTAGAGAGATAGATAGAAGTTTTTGGTAGCCCTATTTTTAAACAGGCCGCCGGTTTTTAGCGTTACACTACAAACTTAAATCAGTAAAAAATCAGTTAAACTTTTCTATACTAAATTATAAAGATAAATATTAGTATGTTGATGTGAGTGTTCGTATTCTAGACAGTTAATAAACTTTTTATTTTCGGTCAAGTTGAATATGTAAAATTAATCATGAATACATTATTTGAAAATATTTACAAGGATTTGTTTGTTTGTAGGGTATTGATTTATTTCAAACTTGATCGCGGATTGATTGAATCTCTAGTAAATGGCTACATGAATAGGCCCTCTAGAGTTCTAGGCTGAAAGGGGAAAAAACCTTAACCTACCGACCGACCTGGGAAGCATCGTTTCAACTACTGGAAGACGGAACTGATTAGGATATCAAAGCAAGAATCGGAAAGGCAAGACAAGCTTTCACTACTCTCAAGTCTGTGTGGAAGTCAACAGAACTCAGCATAAAAAATAAGATCCGGATTTTCAACTCCAATGTTAAGTCAGTGC